CCCACCTCGCGTCGTGTCTTCCCTTCTCATGACGTCATGTTTGACGAGTCGGTTCCCTTTTACCATCTGTTCCCCTACCGCTCTGCCCCTCCCCCACCCCCGCCGCTCTTCCTTGCTCCAGGTCCCCCTCCGGTAGACCCCCTCCCCCCTCAGGGTCCTGCTCCCTGAGGTGTGTCTCAGGTAGACCCTCTCCCTCGTACTGTGCCTGTTGAGGTAGATGTAGCATCAGGTGCTGCTAGAGGTGCTGCGTTTGGGGGTGCTGCGTCTGGGGGTGCGGAGCATGGGGGTGCTGAGTCTGAGGGTGCCGCGTCTGGGGGTGCTGAGCCTGGGGGTGCGGAGCCTCAGGGTGCTGAGCCTGCGGGTGTGGACCCGAGGGTGCTGAGCCTGAGGGTGTGGAGCCTGGGGGTGCTGAGTCTGAGAGTGCGGAGTCTGGGGGTGCTGAGCCTCAGGGTACTGCTTCTTCTGGAGGTCCTGCGGGTGCTTTGCCACGACTGTCTCCCCAGCCAGAGCCGCTCTCCCTGTTGCAGCTGCGCGAATGGTTTGCTCAGCGCATACGCCTTCGGAGTGGAGCTGCCGGAGTTGGAGACTCTGCTGGTGGAGACACTGGAGCTGGAGGTGCTAGAGTTATTGCTAGAGCTGGTGGTACCGGTGGTGCTGCAGCTGCTGGTCCTGGAGGTGCTCGTACCAGGGGTACTGGAGCTGCCGGGACTGGTAGTGTTGGGGGCGCTGGAGCTGGAGGAGCTGGAGCTGGAGACCCTGCGGAGCCTGGAGGTGCTGGGGCTGGAGGCGATGGAGCTGGAGGTGTCAAACGTATGTGTTCATGTGTTTACAGTTATCTAGGCTATAGTGGGTTTAGCCTTAGGGGGTACACAATCTCTCTCGACATTGTACTTGTACCCTTCCTTGCTTCCTAGTAAATCATCCTCTCGTCATTCTCGCTACTATCAAACATGGTATTAGAGTAGGTTACTATTGGGCCCACCACCTGCTACTTCGTTCCTAGCCACGCGCCCCGCCCGTACCGCGCCCGCGATAGGCCCGTACCTAGCCCGCGCCCGCGCTCGGCTCTTTCTCACGCCCGTGCCCGGCCCGTACCTAGCCCGCGATCGCCCCGTCGACACCCGCGCCTGGCCCCGTCCCTAGCCCGCGCCCTGTCGACGCCCGCGACCGGCCCGTACCTAGCCCACGACCCGGCCCCGTACCTAGCTCGCGATCGCCCCGTCGACACCCGCGCCCGGCCCCGTACCTAGCCCGCACCCCGTCGACACCCGCGACCAGCACGTACCTAGCCAGCACCCCGTCGACACCCGCGCCCGGCCCCGTACCTAGCCCATGCTAGGCCCCGTTCCTAGCCCGCGCCCCGTCGACGCCCGCGACCGGCCCGTACCTATGCCCGCGCCCTGTCGACACCCGTGCCCGGCCCCGTTCCTAGCCAGCACCCCGTCGACACCCGCGCCCGGCCCCGTATCTAGCCCGCGCTAGGCCCCGTTCCTAGCCCAGCGCACGGCCCCGTACCTAACGCCCGCGCCCGGCCCAGTCTCTCGGCTCACATTCAGGCCCAGCGCCCGGCCCCGTACTGGCCCAGCGCCCGGCCCCGTTCCTAACCCGCGCCCGGCCCCGTACCTAGCCCTGCGCCCGGCCCCTTCTTTGGCCCCTCGGCCCCCCTAGGCCCCCTCGGCCCCTTTTTTGGCCCCTCGGCCCCTAGGCCCCCCCGGCCCCTTGTTTGTCCCCTCGGCCCCTAGGCCCCCCAGCCCCTTGTTTGGCCCCTCGGCCCCTAGGCCCCCCGGCCCCTTGTTTGGCCCCTCGGCCCCTCGGCCCCCCGGCCCCTTGTTTGGCCCCTCGGCCCCTAGCCCCCCCCGGCCCCTTGTTTGGCCCCTCGGCCCCTAGGCCCCTCGGCCCCTTGTTTGGCCCCTCGGCCCTTCGGCCCCCCGGCCCCTTGTTTGGCCCCTCGGCCCCACTACAGAGCCCCGCGCCCGGCCCCGTACCAGCCCAGCGCCCGGTCCTGTACCTAGCCCGCGCCCGGCCCCGTACCTAGCCCTGCGCCCGGCCCCGTGTTTGGCCCCTCGGCCCCCCCTAGGCACCCCGGCCCCTTGATTGGCCCCTCGGCCCCTAGGCCCCCCCGGCCCCTTGTTTGGCCCCTCGGCCCCCCGGCCCCTTGTTTGGCCCCTCGGCCCCCCAGCCCCTTGTTTGGCCCCTCGGCCCCTAGGCCCCCCGGCCCCTTGTTTGGCCCCTCGGCCCCTCGGCCCCCCGGCCCCTTGTTTGGCCCCTCGGCCCCTAGCCCCCCCCGGCCCCTTGTTTGGCCCCTCGGCCCCTAGGCCCCTCGGCCCCTTGTTTGGCCCCTCGGCCCTTCGGCCCCCCGGCCCCTTGTTTGGCCCCTCGGCCCCACTACAGAGCCCCGCGCCCGGCCCCGTACCAGCCCAGCGCCCGGTCCTGTACCTAGCCCGTGCCCGGCCCCGTACCTAGCCCTGCGCCCGGCCCCGTGTTCGGCCCCTCGGCCCCCCCTAGGCACCCCGGCCCCTTGATTGGCCCCTCGGCCCCTAGGCCCCCCCGGCCCCTTGTTTGGCCCCTCGGCCCCCCGGCCCCTTGTTTGGCCCCTCGGCCCCTAGGCCCCCCGGCCCCTTGTTTGGCCCCTCGGCCCCTCGGCCCCCCGGCCCCTTGTTTGGCCCCTCGGCCCCTAGGCCCCCCCGGCCCCTTGTTTGGCCCCTCGGCCCCCCGGCCCCTTGTTTGGCCCCTCGGCCCCTAGGCCCCCCGGCCCCTTGTTTGGCCCCTCGGCCCCTCGGCCCCCCGGCCCCTTGTTTGGCCCCTCGGCCCCTAGGCCCCCCCGGCCCCTTGTTTGGCCCCTCGGCCCCTAGGCCCCCCGGCCCCTTGTTTGGCCCCTCGGCCCCTCGGCCCCCCGGCCCCTTGTTTGGCCCCTCGGCCCCACTACAGAGCCCCGCGCCCGGCCCCGTACCTGCCCAGCGCCCGGTCCCGTACCTAGCCCGCGCCCGGCCCCGTACCTAGCCCTGCGCCCGGCCCCGTGTTTGGCCCCTCGGCCCCCCCTAGGCACCCGGGCCCCTTGATTGGCCCCTCGGCCCCTAGGCCCCCCCGGCCCCTTGTTTGGCCCCTCGGCCCCTCGGCCCCCCGGCCCCTTGTTTGGCCCCTCGGCCCCCCGGCCCCTTGTTTGGCCCCTCGGCCCCTAGGCCCCCCTGCCCCTTGTTTGGCCCCTCGGCCCCTAGGCCCCTCGGCCCCTTGTTTGGCCCCTCGGCCCCTCGGCCCCTCGGCCCCCCGGCCCCTTGTTTGGCCCCTCGGCCCCAATACAGAGCCCAGCGCCCGGTGTCAGAATATATTTGCTGTTTAGCCTGCAGTGGGGTACTCTGTAGTGAGTACAACCCAATTTAGGGTTTGCTATTTGTATCCCAACTTTCTATAGTGAAACCCCTCATTCTCCTTTCCAATTCTCTCGACACTCAACTCTCTCGACACTCACTAGCCATGGCTCCTAAGTCACGCTAGTATTCTAACATGGTATTAAGAGCAATAGTTCCTAGGACCTCACATCAATGGGCCCACCACCTAATGCCCTGCTAGCCTAGGCCCCGGCCCGTCGCCCCTTGGCGTCGCCCCTAGCCCCTAGGCTCGGCCCCTTGGCCCTGTCGCCCCTAGCTCGGCCCCTCGGCCCCGCTGGCCCCGTCGATTCCGTCGCTCGCGCCCGGCCCGTACCTAGCCCGCGATCGGCCCGTACTTAGCCCGCGATCGGCCCGTACCCAGCCCGCGATCGGCCCGTACCTAGCCTCGCGCCCGGCCTCCGTTCCGCGCCCAACGCCCGGTCCCGTACCTAGCCTGCGCCCGGCCCGTACCAAGCCCGCGCCTGGCCCCGTCCTTCGCCCAGCGCCTGGCCCGTACCTAGCCCGCGCCCGGCCCGTACTTAGCCCGCGACCGGCCCATACCTAGCCCATCGCCCAGCCTCGTCCCTAGCCCAGCGCCCGGCCCAGTACCTAGCCCGCGCCCGGCCCCGTACCTAGCCCGCGCCCGGCCACGTACCTGCCCAGCGCCCGTCCCCGTCCCTTGCCCAGCGCCCGGCCCCGTACCTAGCCTCGCGCCCGGCCTCCGTTCCGCGCCCAACGACCGGCCCCGTACCTAGCCCGCGCCCGGCCCAGTATCTAGCCCGCGCCCGGCCCCGTACCTAGCTCGCGCCCGGCCCAGTACCTAGCCCGCGCCCGGCCCCGTCCCTGCCCAGCGCCTGGCCCCGTCCCTTGCCCAGCGCCCGGCCCCGTACCTAGCCTCGCGCCCGGCCTCTGTTCCGCGCCCAACACCCGGCCCCGTACCTGCCCAGCGCCCGGCCCCGTACCTGCCCAGCACCCGGCCCCGTCCCTAGCCCAGCGCCAGGTCCCGTACCTAGCCACGCCCCACGGCCCCACTGGCCTCGTCGCCCCTAGCTATGGCAAGAGGGGTGCTGACTTCCTGCCCGCGTGCCCTGCAGTCGCACGCGCAGCTCCGCCCCCGCCCCCCTCCCCCCCCTCCCCCTCCTCCATGGGGACGGGGGGGAGAGGGTGTGAGGGGGTGGCGGATGTGCCTCAGCAGCAGCAGCTGCCGCCGCGCCTCCTCCTCTATCTCTCCCTACCGCAACCTGTGTTGGGAGGGGGGAGGAGCTTGGAGGTTCAGGGGGAGGCAGGAGGGGATCTGCAGCACCAGCCCCCCCCGCCCCCCCCCCCCCCCCCCCACCCCTTTCTCCTCCACCCCTGCTGCGGGTGCAGCAGTGGGGGGGAGGGGATCTGCAACAGCAGTGGGGGAGGGGATTTGCAGCATCAACCCCCCCCCCCCCCCCCCCCCTCCCCCCCCCCCCCCCCCGCCCTTTTCTCCTCTCTCTCTCCCTGCCGCACCCTGTGTTGGGAGGGGGGGGAGCTTGGAGGGTCAGAGGGAGGCAGGAGGGGATCTGCAGCACCAGCCCCCCCCGCCCCCCCCTTTTCTCCTCCACCCCTGCTGCGGGTGCAGCAGTGGGGGGAGGGGATTAGCTTGGAGGGTCAGAGGGAGGCAGGAGGGGATCTGCAGAACCAGCCCCCACCGCCCCCCCCTTTTTTCCTCCACCCCTGCTGCGGGTGCAGCAGTGGGGGGAGGGGATCTGCAGCAGTGGGGGGAGGGGATCTGCGGCAGCAGTGGCGGGAGGGGATTTGCAGCATCAGCCCCCCCCCCCCCCCCCCCCACCTCTCCATCCCCCTGCTGCGGGTGCAGCAGTGGGGGGGAGGGGATCTGCAGAAGCAGTGGAGGGCAGGGGAGTTGCAGCATCAGCCCCCCCCCGCCCCCCCCCCCCCCCCCCCCCCCCCACTTCTCCTCCATCCCCCTGCTGAGGGTGCAGCGGTGGGGGGGAGGGGATCTGCAGCCCTGTGCTGCCCTGCAGCCCTGCGCGCCCTGCTGTCCTGCTGCCCTGCGCGCCCTGCGCGCACTGCAGCCCTGCGCGCCCAGCGCGCCCTGCTGCCCTGCAGCCCTGTGCGCCCTGCTGCCCTGCAGCCCTGTGCGCCCTGCTGCCCTGTTTGCCCCTCTCGCCCTGCTGTCCTGCTGCCCTGCGCGCCATGCGCGCCCTGCAGCCCTGCGCGCCCCGCGCGCCCTGCTGCCCTGCTGCTGCCGCTCCAGCCCTTGCTGTTGCCGCTACAGCCCTTGCTGCTGCCCTGCGCGCCCCGCGCGCCCTGCAGCCCTGCTGCAGCCCTGCACGCCCTGCGCGCCCTGCTGTCCTGCTGCCCTGCGCGGCCTGCTGTCCTGCTGCCCTGCGCGCCCTGCGCGCCCCGCGCGCCCTGCTGCCCTGCAGCCCTGTGCGCCCTGCTGCCCTGTTTGCCCCGCGCGCCCTGCTGCCCTGCAGCCCTGTGCGCCCTGCTGCCCTGCTGCCCTGTGCGCCCCGCGCGCCCTGCAGCCCTGTGCGACCCGCGCGCCCTGCAGCCCTGCACGCCCCGCGCGCCCTGCTGCCCTGCAGCCCTGTGTGCCCTGCTGCCCTGCAGCCCTGTGCGCCCTGCTGCCCTACTGCTGCCGCTACAGCCCTTGCTGTTGCCGCTACAGCCCTTGCTGCTGCCCTGCGCGCCCCGCGCGCCCTGCAGCCCTGCTGCGCCCCGTGCGCCCTGCAGCCCTGCGCGCCCTACGCGCCCTGATGTCCTGCTGTCCTGCGCGCCCTACGCGCACTGCAGCCCTGCGCGCCCAGCACGCCCTGCTGCCCTGCAGCCCTGTGCGCCCTGCTGCCCTGCAGCCCTGTGCGCCCTGCTGCCCTGTTTGCCCCTCTCGCCCTGCTGTCCTGCTGCCCTGCGCGCCATGCGCGCCCTGCAGCCCTGCGCGCCCCGCGCGCCCTGCTGCCCTGCTGCTGCCGCTCCAGCCCTTGCTGTTGCCGCTACAGCCCTTGCTGCTGCCCTGCGCGCCCCGCGCGCCCTGCAGCCCTGCTGCAGCCCTGCGCGCCCTGCTGTCCTGCTGCCCTGCGCGCCCTGCGCGCACTGCAGCCCTGCGCGCCCCGCGCGCCCTGCTGCCCTGCAGCCCTGTGCGCCCTGCTTCCCTGCTGCCCTGTGCGCCCCGCGCGCCCTGCAGCCCTGTGTGCCCCGCGCGCCCTGCAGCCCTGCGCGCCCCGCGCGCCCTGCTGCCCTGCAGCCCTGTGCGCCCTGCTGCCCTACTGCTGCCGCTACAGCCCTTGCTGCTGCCCTGTGCACCCCGCGCGCCCTGCAGCCCTGCTGCGCCCCATGCGCCCTGCAGCCCTTCGCGCCCTGCGCGCCCTGCTGTCCTGCTGCCCTGCGCGCCCTGCGCACACTGCAGCCCTGCGCGCCCCGCGCACCCTGCTGCCCTGCAGCCCTGTGCGCCCTGCTGCCCTGCAGCCCTGTGCGCCCTGCTGCCCTGTTTGCCCCGCGCGCCCTGCTGCCCTGCAGCCCTGTGCGCCCTGCTGCCCTGCTGCCCTGTGCGCCCCGTGCGCCCTGCAGCCCTGTGCGCCTCGCACGCCCTGCTGCCCTCTGGGTGCAACTGCGGGGTGGAGGGTATGGGGGTGGCGGGTGTGTGGACCGTCCCCTGCTCCTCCTCCTCCTCTGTCTCCCACTGCTGCAGCTGCCGCTGAGGGGGGTGGGTGTGTGGGAGTCGTGGGAGTGGTGCTAGGGGGGTGATGTGGGAGTGGAGCTAGGGGTGCAGCAAGGGGTGTGTGTAAGGGGGGTGTGACGGTTGGGGGAGGTTGAGCGGAGGCTGCCGTCTTGTCGTCCGCAGCACCTGTAGTCCGGGGCTCTGCTTCTGGTAGCTCAGAGAGCCTGCTGCGCCTGTCGCCTGTGGGTCCGTTGCTCCTGCAGCTCAGAGTTAGCCGCAGAGCCAGTTACTCCTGTAGTCCGGGGATACGGCCCTGGTAGCCACAGTGCGTGCCGCTCCTGTTGCCCGAGTGTCTGCAGCATCAGCAGTCGCCTCCTATCTACTCTCCTCTTACAGTCCAGCCTCCTCCTCACTTGCCCTTTGTGAATGCCTCTAGCTTTGCTTGTACTTGTGAACCTGCTCTATGACTGCTTGCTCTGCTGATTATACCCCACTTTGACTATGGGGGTGTGTCATAATATATTTGCTGTTTAGCCTGCAGTGGGGTACTCTGTAGTGAGTACAACCCAATTTAGGGTTTGCTATTTGTATCCCAACTTTCTATAGTGAAACCCCTCATTCTCCTTTCCAATTCTCTCGACACTCAATCCTCTCGACACTCAATTCTCTCGACACTCAACTCTCTCGACACTCACTAGCCATGGCTCCTAAGTCACGCTAGTATTCTAACACCCGGCCCCGTACCTGCCCAGCGCCTGACCCCGTACCTAGCCCTGCGCCCGGCCCCGTGTTTGGCCCCTCGGCCCCGCCCCTCGGCCCTGTGTGTTTGGCCCCTCGGCCCCTTGTTTGGCCCCTCGGCCTCTAGGCCCCTCGGCCCCAACTCAGAGCCCTGCGCCCGGCCCCTTGTCTGGCCCCTCGGCCCCGCCCCTCGGCCCCGTGTGTTTGGCCCCTCGCCCCCCCCCTAGCCCCCCGGCCCCTTGTTTGGCCCCTCGGCCCCTAGGCCCCCCGGCCCCTTGTTTGGCCCCTCGGCCCCTCCACCCCGCCCCTCAGCCCCGTGTGTTTGGCCCCTCGGCCCCCTAGCCCCCCCCGGCCCCTTGTTTGGCCCCTCGGCCCCTAGGCTCGGCCTCCTCGGCCCCCTAGGCTCCTCTGCCCCTAGGCCCTCGTGTTTGGCCCCTCGGCCCCTCGGCCCCTCTACTCGCCCTCCCTCGCTACTGCTACTGCTACCACTATGGCGTCGCTTAGGGTTCTCCCGTTCGACTCGGAGGGCAGACCTGTAGCATTTGACACGTGGCACGACGATCTGCAACTGTACCTACTGAGCGATAGTAAGGACAGTGTCTCACTGTTTGACCACGTGTCTGGTGCCGCTCCAGCCCCTCCCGCCACAGCTGACGTTTCGACTCGTTCCCAGTGGCTGTCTCGTGACGCTACTGCTCGCTTGGCCATTCGCAACCACCTGCCCGCGACCATATGTGCTCACTTTGGCGAGCACAGGACAGCACAGGCCTTGTACGACGCTGTAGTTGCTCACTATTGGCAGGCTGCTACTGCCCTACCTGTTCCCTGAGCTGTCGGCTTTTGCCACAGTAGCCGACCTGGTTACCCACCTGTGCACTAGCGACGCTCGCTGCCGCGCTACCGTCCCTGCTGAGTTCCTTCCCACGAACCAGCCTCCCATGTTCATCACCCTCTACTTCATAGTCACTCGCCTCCCTGACTCCCTTCGCTCTGTCAGGGACCACTTCCTCACCCTCGACCCACCTCCCTCACTGTTGCCATCCTCGAGCAGCATCTCCTCGCAGCTGAGACTAGTGCAGTTGCTGTAGGTGCTGCTCGTGGCACTCCGCGCTCACCCTTCTTTGACGGGTGCTCCCCCTCCCCCCTTTCCTCCTCCTTTGCCTCTGCTGCTGCTGCAGACGTCTCTGTTCCTGAGGACGTCGGTGCTGGTTCGACTAGTGCGAAGCGCCGCAACAGCAAGGGCAAGGGTGGACGGGGTAGTGGAGGAGGCAGCGGTGGTGGTGGAGGTGGCAGTGGGAGCAGTAGAGGGGGCAGCGGTAGAGGAGGTGGAGGCGGTGGAGGTGGTGGCGGCGGTGGGACCGGTGGCGGCGGTGGAGGCTCTGGTGGCGGGCGGTGGAGGCAGCGGAGGGAGTGGCGGCAGTGTAGGCGGTGGGACCAGTGGTGGTCAGTCTGGACCTCAGCGTGGAGGCCCTGGTGGTGGTCGGGGCCGGAAGCAGCAGCGTCGGAGCGAGACCCAGACGCCCCAGCAGCTCCGTGAGTGGTTGGTTCAGCGTGGGGTGGGTGAGGGTAGTGAGACCTGCCCGTATGTCATTCGCACGGGTGCCCGTGCGGGCCGGACATGCGGGAGGTTTCACACTGAGCGCCTCTGCTTTGCCCGCCTTGATGACGCCTGGCGTGCTGAGTTTGGTGATCACGTCGAGCGCCCTCGCTGGGCGCAGTGGCTTCAGTCAGGAGTTGCTATTTTTGACCTAGACTTTGATGTTATTATCTCTGCCATGTATGCTTTGTCTTTTAGTGCTGAGGGTGACTGTTACCGGTGTGTGCCGCCTGACCCAGGTATAGCCGCTGCTGCTCTAGGTGCTAGTGCGTCTTGTACTCCCCCTGGTACTGCGCCTGCTGAGGCCTTGCACAGATTCACGTTGGACTCCAACGCCTCGCGCTGTTTCTTTCGTGACAGCACCACTCTCACCCCTCTTCCTGCACCTGTTCCAGTCAGACTGGCTGACCCCTCTGGGGGCCCAGTCGTGGCCAGTTCCTCCACTGTCCTCCCGTGTCCGGCGGTTCCGTCCGGCTCACTGTCAGGTCTTCACCTCCCCTCGTTCTCTACGAACTTGGTGAGTACCGCTGCCCTTCAGGATGCGATGGTCACTACCACCACCCCTGGGGGTCAGCGTGTGTCGATCTGCACGTGCACACGGACGGGGCGTCACCTGGCTACGTTCACTCGTCGGCCAGGGTCGAGTCTGTACACACTGGCTACTGAGCCTCCTCAGGTCAGTGCGTCTGCTCAGGTGTCCGCGTCAGGTCAGGTAGCCGCCTCTTGCTCGTGTCGCCTTCTGTCGCACCAGACACTTCTTTGGCACCACCGCCTGGGTCACCCTTTCCTGCCACGCCTTCGTGGCATGCACTCCCGTCTCCTTTTCTCTGGTCTCCCCAGGTCTCTGCCTCCCTTACCGCCCTCGCCTGCCCTGCCCTGTCTTCCTTGCGTCGAGGGGCGGCAGCGCGCCGCTCCTCACTCCTCCTCGTTTCCCCCGACGGCTGCTCCGCTGCAGACCCTCCACATGGACGTGTGGGGCCCAGCCCGCGTCAGTGGACAGGGCCGCGAGCGCTACTTTCTGCTGGAAGTTGACGACTAAACGCGGTACACCACAGTCTTCCCCTTGCGCAGCAAGGGTGAGGTCTCTGATGTCTTGATCCCTTGGATCCACACAGTCCGTCTCCAGCTGCGCGAGCAGTTCGGCCAGGACCTTCCTGTCCTGCGTCTGCACTCGGACAGAGGTGGTGAGTTCTCCTCCGACCTCTTGCAGGACTTTTGTCCTGGGGAGGGCATCACCCAGTCGTTCTCGCTACCGGACTCCCCTCAGCAAAATGGGATTGCCGAGTGCCGCATTGGCTTAGTCATGGAGGTCGCTCGTACCTCCATGATCCATGCGGCCGCTCCCCATTTTCTGTGGCCGTTTGCGGTCCGGTACGCTGCGCATCAGCTCAACCTTTGGCCCCGTGTCTCCTTGCCGGAGACCTCGCCCACACTGCGTTGGACGGGGACGGTTGGCGATGCGTCAGTGTTCCGGGTCTGGGGTTCTCGTGCCTTTGTTCGCGATACGTCCGCGGACAAGCTCTCCGCCCGCGCCATTCCCCGCGTCTTCCTTGGCTTTGTCCCTGACGCGCCTGGCTGGCAGTTTTACCACCCCACCTCGCGCCGTGTCCTCCCTTCTCAGGACGTCACGTTCGACGAGTCGGTTCCCTTCTACCGTCACTTCCCCTACCGCTCTGCCCCTCCCCCGCCCCC